CCTCATTCCCCAGTGCAAACTCCTGCCTCTGGCTCAGACCATGAGAAATCAGCTCCTGGTCCTGGATGAGTGCTCAGCCCCAGGTCCAGTTTTCACTGGGAAAATGCAGAAGTTCTGCTGTGCCAGCTGGGAGAGAGCAGGGAGCAGAGCTCAGGGATGCTGGGCTGGCACTGGCAGCTCCCTGAGCCTCACCTCGGTCCTGGGGGCACGCTGGGCACCACAGTGGGGAAAATATCCCTAAAGCTTGGGAGAGACTCCCAAAGGGGACAGGGGATGGGGGAAGATCTGGAGAGGCCATGGGGGAGCAGCTGAGGGCACTGGGATTGTGTGGCTGGAGAGGCTGAGGGGGTGGGAGGTGATAGAGATAGAGAGAGATAGAGATGACAGAGATGGGAAAAGGGGGCACTATTTTAAAGTAAGATAAAAGGAGGATTTAGATTAAGTGTTAAGAAGAAATTCTTTACTCAGTTCTAGTGAAAGGTGGCCCTGCCATGGTGGAGGAGTGAAGGTAGATGCTCTTTAAGATCCCTTCCAAGCCAAACCTTTTTGTGGTTCTGTGATTCTATAAAAATACAGCAGCAGGACCCCTGAACCCTTCTCCAAGCAGAGCACCAACCACAAGGACTGAAAGGTGATGTACAGCCGGATCCAGGTTGGCATCTGGAATGTGTTTCAGGGTCTGCAGCACCAATCTCTGCTCTGGGACAGGGACAGCACCCAGGGAAGGGTCAGGCTGGATTTTGGGAAAGGTTCTTCCCCAGGCTCCCCAGGGATGGGACACTGCTCCAGGGATGCCAGGGTGGGATTTTGGGGCTGTGCAGGGCCAGGGGCTGGGCTGGATGACCCCATGGGTCCCTCCCAGCTCAGGATACTCCAGATTCGGTCCCTGGGGCTGAGGTGGGAGCAGGGCTGGAGGTGCCGGGGTCTCCCCAGGTCCCCCCGTGTGTGGCAGCCCCAGCAGGTCCCTGTCCCCAAAGCGGGGAGGGCTCCCAGCACGGATTGACTGCTCAGCCCACACACAGCAATTTCTGAAACATTCAAACTGCCTGTCTTCTTTGCTTCATCCTGACAATTGGTTTTAATCAGTGTTATCAGCTGCTTAAAACACTTCATTCTCTGGAGCTCTGCAGCTTTCAGCCTCCGGGAGATCCATGGGGCAGGGCTGGGGATGGTGTCAGGAGTTTTGTTTCAAACCAGCACAAAAGGAGAAAACCTCATCCCTCATCAATACACTTTCAAAAATAACTCATCCCTTCCCTCCCACCCCACCGCCACAATTTATTTTTTTCAAAAATTCACTCAAATAAGTGAATCATATGACCGAGTTATTTTGATACGTGGAGTGCTGTTTATTCCTGGCTTGTCAATACTTTAATTAATTTCAGCCTGTTTCTAAAACAGAAGTGAAGGACATAATTGACTGGGATCTGCTGGGAGCTGTCCTGCCATCTGCACGGGCTGAAGTGAAGCAGTGCAGCATTTAAAGGCATTAAAGGAAATTAAATGCCTCTGGATTAATGCTGACTTCTGATTAATATTTCAGGAAAGGATGTGGGAACAGCTGGAAAGGCAGAGATCAAATCATCACTTCCCCATTGTCATGTTTCTGTACTGAGCCACATTATCAGCTTTACTCATAAACAGCTTATCTCGATTTGTAGGTGCTTAAATCCTAATGATTTTTTTATGCCTGGGAATAATCAGGGAAGCAGGAAAGAGGAGAGGCCAATGACAGCTTATTTGTGGTTATGAAATGTTCCAGAGGGAAAAGCCCTGGCTGGAAATGATCAACCCAAGCCTTTATTCCCCCCTCCCCAGGGAATGTTAAACCAAGAGAACTCTTTGTGAGGCTCCCAGAGCTGTGAGTTTTTAACCTCAGGGGTTTCCCCTCTGTGAGCACTGGGATCCAGGGAAGGTTCCTGCTCTGCCCCCATGGCTGATCCGTGCTCTTTAACTGCTGCAGGAAATATGCAAAAGCCCTTGAGCTCATTTAGAAAAGTTGGGGTGTTTACAGGAAAGTGAAAATTGAGCTTGAAAGAGTAATTACCCTTCTTTTTACTTTCACATTAATGACTATGCAGAAGAGCTTTTTAAATATGTCCATATGTGGGTTTTAAGCATTCATTCCCCATCAGTATTTCACCTTTTTCCTTAAGTGATTTCTATATTCCTGCTAACCAGCAATCATTTTGCCTGAATCTCATTTCCTCATAATAGCAAACCCATCAATCTCTGCTGTATTAAAGAGGGAAGCAAGCTTGGGAGCCAGAGCTCTCCGATTTGATAAAAGATGTTATGCAAACCATTGATTTCAATTTACAGCAATATCCACTTCTTCCATTATTAACAGCTTGGAATTACTCAGACTGAATAATTAACATGTATTCCTGGTGATGGATTATTCCAGAGGCTGAAAGAGCCCAGATGAAATCCCTGCTGTACCGCAGTGAGCATCTGCTGTTTGATGTTCCCCAGGGGAGCAGTGGGAAATGGCACAGGGGGAACAATCCCAAAAGTGATGTCAGAGCTAAAATTCCTCTCCCAGATGTGCCAGGGGCAGTTCCTGCTCTGCTCCGAGCCTGGTGGTGACCACTTCTGCCCAGGGATGCCACCAGGATGCCACCACCCTCAGCACAGGGTGGGAAATGTGGATTTAAAACTCTCTAAGGTGAAACCTCCTAGGCAATGTCTGGAGATGTGGTTCAGGGCTGCGCTCCTCTGGCTTGTTTGGGTGAGTAAAACTCAACATTTCTGGGTGCCAGGAGTTTCTAATCTCTTCTAGCTTTTCTCCAAACCAGGAGAGCTCAGTGAGATAAAGTGTAAAAAGCCAGGAATGTTGTTGAGTACATAAAAGGTGAGCCCAGGGCCAGTCAAGGTAAAACCCAATAACAGGTTTTCCATTTTTCAATTACCTGAGCAATCTCCCAGCATTAATCCTGGGTGTCCAACACTGCTCTGTAGGCTGAGAAGGAATTTCCCTGCTGAATCAGTGCCAAGTGTTGCTTTTAATGCCAGTTTATCTCCAGCCACAATTGATAACAGGAAAACCCCCTTCCCCACCTGCAAATGTAAAGTCACACAAGCAGGTGAAGGTTTAGGATGCAGTTTATTCAGGATAAATCATTAGAAAGAGCTTTAGGAGAAAAATATCAAAATTTTCTAATAAAATCAGGTTTAGGAGGAATTTATTGTATGCTGGGTGTTACCTTCTGAAAAAAAAAACCAACTTTCTTTGATGCAGCAAATTATTTGTAGAAATGCAGATTTAAAATACGGCTGACATTGTGTGTGGGGGTTTTGTGTTATTCTTTCTTTTTCTTTTCTTCCTCTTTGTTAACTGAAAGAAATTATTGATCTCAGAATGGGGGAAAATTAGCTTGGAAAAAAAATTATTTCCTTTTCCTAACTCAGGAAAAATTACTAAGTAAAAAAAGAAAAAAAAAAAGGAGGTAAAAAAAAGCCAGACTGTTCTGTAGCACAGAGTGAAGAGAGAAAAAGGCAAAACATTATGTAGATTTCAAAACTGAAGATGTAAAATGCTTGTCTGGAGGAAAGTTTGAACCCATTAGTCCTTGTCACATCAGGAACTGTAGTGACAAAGAGTGATGGGTTCAGAATGGAAAAGGGGAAATTGAGGTTACAGGTAGGAAAAAATCCTTCCCTGTGCGGGTGGGATGGGATTCCCAGAGCAGCTGTGGCTGCCCCATCCCTGGAGTGTCCCAGGCCAGGCTGGACAGGGCTTGGAGCCACCTGGGACAGCAGAAGGTGTGGAATGAGATGAGTTTTAAGGTCCCTTCCAAGCCAAACCATTCTGTGATTTTACAACACTAAAACCTTGTGAAAAAAAAAAAAAATAGAAAAAGCTACAGGGAAAAAAAACCCAAAAACCCAAAATGCTTCTGTATGGAAAATAACTATTTGTGTGTAAAGAGAATGGAGATGTGAGGAAATGACATATAAACTGTGAGGAAATGTTATGTACATTGTGAGGAAGTGAAATACACGACTCCCAAAACTCAAATCTGCACTATTGCACAACGGGTCAGGAGTCAAACAAAACTAAAGAATTCCCAGAACATGTAAAAGAACTCGAAGGAATATTTGAATATGTATAATCTTCATAAATATGCATCTGATCAGTGCAATGAAAAAAGCATATAATGAAAGTTGGTTTAACCAACTGGTGTGCTCTGGGCAGTTTGTCAAGCTGTCTCCTGTCCCTTTTGTCCCTTATTAAAATTTGAAAGATGTGAAGGGCGAGCCTTGTTTCTCACACCTTTGTCTCTGGTTCCCCAGTTCCAGTGAGGGCTTCGGCATCGCGGAGAAGATCCTGCTGCTCTCCTTCGTCTCTGCCGTCATCCTCATGGCCATCCTGGGCAACCTGCTGGTCATGGTGGCCGTGTGCCGGGACAGGCAGCTCCGGTGAGCCCCTCCTGCTGCTGCAGCGCCAGCTGAGCCGGGGGTTTTTAATGCATTAATCCCGTGATAAATAGGAAATGCAGCCCGGCTCCATAAACCAGTCTGGGCTGACTGACAGAGGCTCCAAGCAGTACCAGCTCTCCTGAAATGTGGCTGCTTCAGAGGCTGGGGGTGTAGGGACCAGAGCAATGGCTCTGGAGCACTGGGAGTGTTTGAATTGCCTGTAAACGCTGTGCAGAAGCAATCAAAAATTGCAAAATCAGGCTGTTTGGCTGATTTTGAACAATGGGATCTGCTGTGGGTTCTGGCGGTGTTCACAGGGGTCCCAGGGCAAGAATCTTGACTCCATGTTTCAGAAGCCTGATTTATTATTTTATATTAATATTATATATTATAATAATACATAATTATAAAAATATAATATAATTAATATATTATATTACAACTATAATAATATATAATTATAAAAATATAATATAATTAATATATTATATTACAACTATACTAAAAGACTAGAAGAAAATATTTCATCAGAAGGCTTGAAAGAAAAAGACTAGAATCAGAATGATAACAAAAGCTTGTGACTCTCAGAGTCCGAGCCAGCTAACTGTGATTAGCTATTAATTAGAAACAGCCACATGAGACCAATCAAAGATGCACCTGTTGCATTCCACAGCAGCAGAAAATTATTGTTTGTCTTTTCCTCTGAGGCCTCTCAGCTTCTCTGGAGAAAAATCCTGGCAAAGGGATTTTTCAGAAAATATCATGGCTACACCTGCCCTCGGCTCATCCCACAGGGCTGGCAACATTTTAATTCCCATCCTCATTTTTTAGCATTCTCAGTGTAGAAAACCAGGCAAATCAGTGAAAAGCACACCTAAGCAGCAAACCCCAGGTTGGCTCTGGCCCTTTTCCATCTCAGATTTCCCAATGAGCTCATCAGCAGCACACAGACCAAGGTCTGGTAGCAAATGTTGCCCATGATTTGAGGGGGTCACAGGCACAATTCCTGTCTCAAGGCTGCTGCTAACCCTGGGAATTGTTAGCCTAGCCTTAGGAGCAGAGAGAGAGATTTAACAGCCTCTATTCATGTGCTGCGTGGGATTTTTAATGGATTTAATTCTATTTTATTGTTGTGATTTAAAAAGTACTCTTCAAGTTAAAATTACAGCTTCAGTCTAGATTATTCTCAGTGCTTTCTGGAAGGATTTTCTCCATTTACAAGTTAAAATAAAATCCCTTTCCTCCACCCCAGAGTCTCCAGTGCAAGCTGTGAGGCTGAGCCACATGCAGAGGCCTGTGAGCATCCATTTGCCTCCTCTGGGCGAGCAGAAAGATTTAGGCCAGGAAAATGGTGGATATTTAACTTTAAAAACCAGGAGCAAGCCAGGGGCGACCATATAAAGTGAGGAGTGTGATAGAGAGAAGCTTTTAGTGTGATGGAGCAGATTAAACCCAAATTCAAGCTGGAATCTCTGTCCATGTGTGGAGGCTGCACTGAACCCACCCTAATTTTGTGATCTGCCTTGCAGGAAAATCAAGACCAACTATTTCATCGTGTCCCTGGCCTTTGCTGACCTGCTGGTGTCGGTGCTGGTGATGCCCTTTGGAGCCATGGAGCTGGTCCAGGACAACTGGATCTATGGGGAGATGTTCTGCCTGGTGAGGACCTCGCTGGACGTGCTGCTGACCACAGCGTCCATCCTGCACCTCTGCTGCATCTCCCTGGACAGGTACAGCTGCACAGGGGCACTGCTGGAAGGCTCTGAGGGTTCTGGGCTATCCTGACCTGCCAGAGGGCAAAGATGGACTTGCTGGCAATGACAGAGCAATAAATCCCTCCCAAGGGCTGATTTCGGAGAGAATCCTGCTGAGGGCAGAGAAATTTGGAATGGGATGAGATTTAGGGGAAGGCTTTGGTTGTTCTGGGCCCAGCTCTGCTGGCAGCACTGACCAGGTGTGATTCTGTTCCTCCTTTGGAGTAAAAACACCTGGAATGTGTCCAGAGGTGGGAGCTGAGCTGAGGCAGAGAGAAGGACATTGTGCACAGGGTTTGTTCCGGCAAAGAGGCTCCTCTGCTCCCAGGATGAGGGGAAACAGCCTCAAACTGCAGCAGGGCAGGCTCAGGGTGGGCACAGCAGGAATTTCCCCATGGAAAGGGGGCTCAGGGCAGGCTCAGGGTGGGCACAGCAGGAATTTGCCCATGGAAAGGGGGCTCAGGCACTGGCACTGCCCAGGGAGGTTTGGAGAGCCCATCCCTGGAGGTGGCACCTGGATGTGACACTCAGTGCTCTTGGTGCCAAGGTGGGGATTGGGCACAGGTCTTCTCCAGCCTAAATCTCCTGGGAGATCCTGAAAACTTTCTTTCAAACTTTCCTTTCTTTCAAACTTTTCTTGCCACCTGAAAATGAAGCCCAAAGCCTCAGTAATTTATGGTGAGCAGTTCTGTTTGACTGCTGTGTGCAGATTTTTGGGTAAATGGCAGAATTTCTATAGGAGTTTTTCACAAGATAAACACTCAGTAGAAAACATTTTGGCTATTCTGATAATATTTTTGGAAGTTTTTTTTTGTTTGTTTGTTTGCTTTTTGGGGGTTTTTTTGTCTCCTGTGTGGAGATTTCAATACCTTTGAAAACCCCTGTTCCCTACTATTGCTAACAGGGCCAAAATAACCATAATTATTCTTGTTATTGTGACAGCTGATATTTAAATATGTGACATTTCAGTACCTTGAGAGTTTGAGTGCAGCCAGACTTCAAAAAAAAGTTGCTTAACCTCTGTATTGATGGGCAGCAGTGCTGTGGGGTGGGAGGCAGGGCAGCAGCAGAGGCAGTTTTGTGTCCAGAGTGAAGCTGACATCCAGCAGCCGCAGCTCCTGTCCTTATCTGCAAGTTTAGATGGCTGGAACACAAATGGGAAGCTCGTTATCTTCAAGCCATTGACAAATTGCCACACTGGGCCAATTACCAGGAAAGCAGATGTTGGGCGCCGTGCTCTGGACACGACCTTGCTCTCTGAAATGCTGGAGTTTGATTCTCCAGGCTCTTAATTAAATAGAGAGGGTTGTGGAGAGAAGGGAAAATGGGATTTCAGCCCCAGATCTGCAGCAGGGGATGGGGAACCTCCTGTGTGGGGCACAGAAAGGAGGTTCCCCCTTCCTCCTGGAGAATCCCCATGTCCAGAGCTGCTGCTGCCTGTCCCCATCTGTCCCCAGGATCCTGGGACAGCCTGGCCTTGGAGCTGATGCTTTAGGGACACCCCTACCTGAGCCCTTGGCATTAACCTGAGCTTCTCTGACATTTTTTAGTTGGTTTGGGGTTGGTTTTTTCCACAGCAAGGATTGATTGAGAGCAGTGCGAAGGGGCCAGAATAGATGAGGAGAAGGGGGTGGATGACCCCAAAATGGCAGAGCAGGTGGATGAATGAGAGGTTTTTGTGGAGGGGAGGATGAGTCAGCCCAGCATCGATCCTCCCTGGGCTGCAGGGACAGCACTGCTTCCTTCCCAGGGCTTAATTCAGTGTTTTCAGCTGTTTGCTCTTGTGTTCATTCAGAATTTATGGGAGAGTGCTGCTTCTAGTTGGTAGCTTTTCTGTGATCTATTTCCTGCCTTCTGTTTTATTTCAGGGCACGCAGGTGTGAGTCTTAAGGTTTTTTTAAGAAAACTGGGTGGTTAATCTAATCCTAAAGACTCAGCTTGAAAGTCATTCCCTTCAGGATATTCACAGAGTGTTGCTTGCAAAGACTTTTATCTGATAAAGTCTTGTATCTGTTTCCACTGCTGCCTCTGGAAAAGAAGGAAACAAGCTCTGAGGCTTGAATTCTCAAAGGCATTGGAGAAAATCTGGAGAAATCACCACATAATAAACTGATTTTCCTGCTCAGACACAGGGAGAGAAGTACTGCAGACAGCCTCTGCCAGTCTCAGTGGAAAAAGGGATTTTCCAAGGTAGCAAAGGTATCTCAGGGCTCACTGAATCTGAAGTTTGCTACCACTGCCTTAAGCTTTTTCATCATCTCTTTGATATTCTAATATATTAGAGAGATTTACCCTTGAAATATTTATTTATCGCATGTTTTATGCATACATGTCCATTCTTTGTGCCAGTGCAATGAAAAATAATTGCACTGCAAACAAACAGACCCAGAAGCTCTGGCGGAGTCTCCAAATACAGCGAACGTGTCAGGAGAGGCAATTTTCTCCTCCAATATTTGCAGTCCAATTTGCAATGCAATTACTTCTCAGAGTCTTTGGGGGGTGGAGAGAACAGCAGAGAAACAAACAGGTCCCAGATGTCCGTGGGTCTGGGTTTGGGTGCACATCTGGCACCTCTGGGTGCAGCGGGAGCATCCTCTGCCTGCCTCCTGCCCCTCCTGGCTGCCCCAGGTCCCCCCAGGGCTGTGTCCCTGTGGCTGCTCTGTTTGCTGGGGTGTCTCAGACACCTGCACACCACAAACCAGCCCTGGGTGTGTCCTTTGGTCCCAAAGTGATCCTACAGCCCAAAATCCCTGCTAAGCCAGGGCTAAACACAGCAGATGCAGCCGGAGAGTGACAGCTGCTCCTTGTGCTGCTTGCAAACATTAATTACCATTAATGGGCAGGAAATTAGCTCAGCCCTGTGGGAGAGGTGATGCTGTAAAGCCTCCCGAGCCCTGTGGTGCCATCCTGTGACAGCAGCCCGGTGCCAGGGCACAGAGAGTGGCCCTGGGGACTCAGTGGGCACTGCCCTGCTCCTGCCAGCCCAGCATTCCCTGCTTGTCCCCTTCCCACGGATCACAGACAGGAACTGCCTGGTGCCCCAAGGATGCCCAGGCTGTGCCTGGGAGCACAGGGGGTTTGCCCAGGCTGGGAGGAAGCTGCAGGGCCCTATAGAACATCCCTGCCTGCTCAGGGCCATGGGGATGTTGTTAGTGGGGAGAGTGATTAAACTTTGCCTAACTGGCAGTAATTAATGGCTACAGTCTGATTAAATGCCCCAAATTGCAGGCTGTGAATTCCTGTGCCTGTCTGACAGGATCTGACAGCTCAGGTGGGAGCACAGAGGCAGCGCAGGCAGGGACAGCTGGGCCTGTCCCCAAGGCAGGTGACACAGGAGGTGACACAGCTGTGGAGCCGTCCCTGCCAGGCAGGACACCAGGCAGGGGCTGCAGGACGCAGCTCTGGGAGCTCTGAGGAAAATCCCAGAGCAGATGGCCACAGCACAGGCTGAGGGACGCTCTGCCCTTTATTCATCTCTGCAAACCCTCCAGAAATATTTCATTTATTGCACCGCCCTTGCTGCCAATAACCCCCTCGCACCTCAGCCTCGCAGGGACCATCAGGAGCCCCCTCTCTCTGCATTTGGCAACATACATTTGTTTGTGTTCCCTGCTAAATTTATCCAGCTCCAATTAACTGTTCTCTTTAGCATTTTTCTCAGTGTAATTATCTCAACACCAGCAGGCCGTTGTTTTTCTAATAAGAATTTAATTTTGTTAGATATAATCATTTTAGGACATTTTCTTTTTCTGGACCAATGATGCAGAACTTTGTTTTCTTTGGCACAATGAGAGCCCAAAGCTTATTTGCTCAGTGGGAAAAAGGAAAATAGAAAGAGCTGTTCTTTCCAAAAAATGTTAAAATCTGGTTATACAGAGGCCAGAACCTGTTTTCACTGAAATATCAGCAACAGCAGTGTGGGATTAACTTCCCAAAGGCGCAAATAAATTGAAATCGTGGCTCCTTAGGTTCATCACTTGGTCAGGGCTCAGCTGGAGACTCTGTCCCAGTCTGGATTCCCTGAGGGACAAGGACAAGGGCAGTGACTTCCCACTGACACTTGCACCCTGACTTTGGGAGAGAGCCAGTAGCACCCACAGTTTTCCCATCCTTTTGCCTTCTTTTATCCAGTTTTCACATCCTTTTGCCTTCTTTTATCCAGTTTTCCCATCCTTTTGTCTTCTTTTTTCCAGTTTTCCTATCTTTTGGCTTCTTTTCTCGTGGATGATTTAAGGGGGGTGAAATATTACTCAGTGTGAGTGCTCAGTGAGTGTTCTGTGGCTCATCCTGGCCCCAGGATGATCCAGCATATGCTCTGTACATCATTTTCCATATGCACATGACACCAAATGCTTTGAAGTGTGGGCCACCCCCAGAGGCAGGCTGCTAATAAGGCTGGGGGTGGATTTGTCTGTCTGTGAGAGCTGAAGAGCTCCTTGCAGGGTGGTGCCTGCAGGCTGCCGGCTCCAAACTGCTCTGCAAACCAGGAGATGCTTTCATTTCTCTCCAGGGGCAGGGAATGGTCTCCTGCAGCTCGGTAATTCCATTTCTGCAGTGCCCAGGAGGCAGGGAGGAGCAGGGCTGTGGCCAGAGCCTCAGTGGGGCTGAGGCAGGATATGATCATAGATCCAGATATCTGCAGGAGCTGAGCACTGCAGGGCAGCTTTGGCACAGCCAGGGGATGGAGGAGGGAGAAATCAATAATTCCCTGCCATGGCCCACAGCCCATGCAGGCAGATCCAGGAGCTGCAGGAACTCTGGGACTGGTTCCCAGCTGGGACCTTCCAGTGCCTGGGGAATGATGGAAAAAGAGTGCCAGGACAAGGGAATGGCTCCCATTGACAGAGGGCAGGGATGGATGGGATTTGGGAAGGAATTCCTGACTGGGAGGGTGAGCAGGCCCTGGCACAGGGTGCCCAGAGATCCCTGGTAGTGTCCAAGGCCAGGCTGGATGGACTTGGATCTCCTGGGATAAGTGGAAGTTGTCCCTGCTATGGCTGGGGTGAAATTAAATGATCTTTAAGGTCCCTTCCCAACTCCTTTCCTGTAGTTCAAAGGATTCCTCACCTTCCCTGTGATTCTGTGGGTTTTTCAGTGGCCAAAGAGCCATAAGGCCAGAGAAATGATGGATTTCTTCTTTTCAGCCACCTGTGAAATGTCAGCATCAGATTCATTCCTGTGGCAAATGTCTGATAAGGAAAAGGAGAAGTATTTTAATAACCTTTGCTTTACTGGAAGAGCTGCAGCTCTGGGAAGGGGTTCCTGTGTTTCCCCTTCAGTGGAGAATGTCATTGCAGAGGAGAGGAGGTTTCACATCAGCTGCTCTGCTGGAGGGAACAGGGAAGTGAACATTTGCGAGGAATTTGACTGATAATAGAGAGAATTAATATTTAATTGTGCCTGGACACGGTATTAATCATGTGTATGTATTGCATTTTGTGTTCATCCATCACGCTGCCCCAGCAGCACGTGTGCAGACATTCCCTGGGAGCCCAGGCAAACAGCTCTGCTTGGAAAGGGGCAGGAGCACAGAGCTTGTCTTTATCCCAGCCTCTGACTATGACTATTGACAATCTCACAGATATAATTACTTTTCTCCCAGTGAATAAATAGCTGCTAAAATGCTCAGGCCACCACATCCATCAAAGCAGCAGCTCCTGCAGCAGCTGTGACATCCAGGCCGTCTGGTGGCACCCACAGCTGTGTCACATCTGATTCCCCGGATGGAAACCCTGCTGGGCTCCGAGGCGTGGGTGCTGAGCTCCCCTGCCTCCCTCCCCATCACACAATTGTCACCCACACCCTGCTCAGGGCACTTTGTCACCCAAAACAGTGACAGCAGGAGCCCAGCTGGGCTGCTTGAGCACGGGGGAAGTTCTGGTAGCAGCCAAAGTGAAATAAAATAAAATCTTCTGACGTGAAAGTGGAGGAAAATTGCTGCTGAATCACTGGGAGGGAAGAAATATGAGAGCTTAAGGTGTCATTTTTACAGGCATAATTTTTACTCTAATGGCCTTTAATAGCAGGAACAATTCAGTGCAATTCTTTCAGCTGCAGCAGGGAGAGGAGCAGAGAAATGTGATCACTCAAACTGCTGGCAAGAATTGTTTTCCTGCTGTAGTTAATTATCAGTGTACAGTGGTTTTCTCTTCCTGTTTGCTTATCCAACTTGTCAAAGGCTGGCTGCTGGCTTGGCTGGTTTTATCCTTTCATTTATTGGATTTCTTCTTTTGCCCTTTCTGCAAAGAAATGGAGTCTCTCGTGCCTTGCCTTTGATGCCTTTGATGTCCAGCACTTCCAGTGGGTGACTTTGAGAGAAGAAACAATGAAATAGTTTAAATTTATTTTTCAATATAGATCCTTTGTGTTGAGAGTCGGAGGAGCAGCTCTGAAGCTCCCTCTGCCCCAAAAACCTCCCCAAAATTCCTGTTGGAACTCCAAGGTCATTTCCTGGGCAGGGATCAGCCCCAGGGGAGCTGGAGCTCCACCAGAGCAAAATTTCACCCTCAGCTCTAAAAGAGCAGCTCCTGGCAAATCCTATTTGTTGGAAGTGCAGCTTTCCAGAGGAACAGGCTGATTTTTCATGCACGCAGGAAACCAGAGGAGAACAGAGGAATTATCAAATTGCAGGAGTTGAATGCCTGTTTCAGCGTTTTTCCCCTGTGACATTTTGAATCTTGTTTCAAAGAGACTTTTAAGAAATGTTTTCTTTTGACACTTTGATATTATTTCAAGCCTCTGTGTGGAATATATCATCTGATTTTATCAAAATAAAGCAATTCGGTTGACTCCACATGACTTTAAAAAAAAAAAACCTTCAGAAAAAATGGAAATTCTTATATTCTTGCGCCTGTTTAGGACAAAGCTCTTGGTTCCCACTCAAATCTTGGTGAAATAAATGCACATCTCAAAGAGCAGCTCTTTAATACACACATGTGTGTTTGCTAATTTAATTCCTCTAATTCTTGGTTCTGCTGCCCTCATAAATTTTTTTACAGAGTGTGCTGAAATCCAAAAATCTAAAGAGCAAAAAATATTTTATTGGGAACCTGAGACTGATGGTCAGGTCAGGACCAGTGAAAGTCTGCAATTGGATATTTGGATCTGGTCTTCTTAGGAATAAACAATAATTTCAGAGCCAGAGGTTTCCAGGTTTAGGTTTGCTACTCCTTCCTGATGGAGAGATCCACCTGCAGGGAGTGGCACGGGGGTCAAACAAACAGAAAATTTGATTTTTTTATCTCTTTGAGAAGACATTTTTAGGTCATAACAGTTTTAGGGGCAGGGTCCTGTTGTACTTAGGATATTTGGAATGGATCAGGAGGAGGGAGGGGAGTTCTGGGCACATGCCCTTGATGGTGCAAATGTTTTGCCCTGTCCTTGGGAAGGTTAAAGCCCAGCTGGAAAAGAGGTGAATTCCTGGGAAACGGAAGAACACACCTCATTTTACTGCCAGTTTCACAGCTTTGGGAGAATTTGTTAATTTGTGTTAACAGCTTTTGCAGCTTGTCAAAATAAATGTCCAGTGCAGGAAATTCAGCTAAGGCTGCCTGGAGGGAAGGGATGTTCCTTGGAGGGTGGGGACATCCTCAGTGCAGAGGGAGAGCAGGGCTGAGTATGGGATTTCTCCCTTGCCCTGCCACCCCAGACAGCCCACAGCATTTACCTGGGCCTCATTCTCCTTGGAAAGCAGAAAACTCTGCCTTTTCCTCGCCAGCCACTGGGAACCCTGGGGAAATGTCCCAGGTTCCTGTGTGAGGGGCTCCATGGAAGCAGGATACAGACCCCTGTTTTCTCTCTGGTTTGAAAGGCAGCTGGAGAAAGGGCTTTACAATTTAATTTTTAAAAGGCTTGGAAGTCCCTTCTGACTGTTTCTGTCCTGTTTTTTGGTTGCATACAGGTAGGAATCTAATAGGAGAAAAGCTTCATCAAATCAGGGCTTAGGCCTGTTACTTTTCTAAGTACAGCTAAGCAGCTAGCTCAGTTCCATGTGAAAGAATCACATGAAAGCCAGTTAACACAACAAGTTCGTCTTTTGAGGAAAACCAGTTTGCACCTTTAATAACAAAAGATCTGTCCCATGAAAATCCACAAAGAAAATATATAAACACCTGTGAATAGAAAAAGTCTTAAGAGGTACACACAAAAACACCTTCTAACCAATGAACTAAGTGGCAGGAAAACTCCCAGCTAATTGGGATTGAACACAAAGTCTGTGAAAACTACAGAAAAATGAATGAAAAATAAAGAATAGGGAATAAAGAATTGGCTTTTGTGCATGAAGAGCCTGCTTTCTGACCCGTTTTTGCCCCACAGGTACTATGCCATCTGCTGCCAGCCCCTGGTGTACAGGAACAAGATGACCCCGCTGCGCATCGCGCTGATGCTGGGGGGCTGCTGGGTGATCCCCACCTTCATCTCCTTCCTCCCCATCATGCAGGGCTGGAACAGCATAGGCATCATTGATCTGGTGAGTGGCCAAGCAGGGACACCGATCCAGTGTGCTGGGTGGGCGCTGGGTGTTCCCTAAAAAACAATTTTCAGGGAAAGGGGAAAAGAAGGAGAAACTTCTTGTCGCCAGTGCAGAGGGGCTGCTGAATTTCTGGAGGGGTCTTTAGGGGGATTGAGGTGGCTCTGTCCTCGAAGGACTGTCACAGGGCCAGGCGTGGCCTGGGACAGGATTTTGGCCACATTCACTCTCAGTTCAGTGAGGAATCCTTGGAAAAGAGGCCAAGCCCAGCTGGCCCCTGCCAACACCTCAGGAGTCCTTGGTCCCCTTGGCCTTTGCAGCTCTCATTTAAATAAGAGGCAGGATTATTCTCTTGGTAGAAAAAGCAAGAGCTTGTAGTGCCAGGACAAGGGAGTGGCTGCACACTGCAGAGGGCAGGGTTAGATGGGATATTAGGAAAAGATCCTTCCCTGGAAGGTGGTGAGGCAGAAGTTGTGGATGTGTCCAAGGATGGCTGGATGGGGCTTAGAGCAACCTGGTCTAGTGGAAGATGTCCCTACCCATGACAGGGGGTAACACAAGATGATTTTTAAGGTCTCTCCCTGTTGGGGTCCTGGACACTGAGAATTTTAGACTTTCTGTGCTGACAGACTCTAACTCCCAAGAGAGCACTACATTTGACCTGAGGTGTAGGAAAGCTTCCTAAATTGATTGATAGCACTGAGATTATGAGCGTGTAGTTGACACCTCCCAACCCAACCCGTTCTCTGACTCCCACTTCTCCCCTCCTTCCTTTCCTCACCTCCCCTCCGCACCCCAGATCCAGCAAAGGCAGTTCAACAAGGCCTCCAACTCCACCTACTGCATCTTCATGGTGAACAAGCCGTACGCCATCACCTGCTCCGTGGTGGCCTTCTACATCCCCTTCCTGCTGATGGTGCTGGCCTACCACCGCATCTACGTGACGGCGCGGGCGCACGCGCGGCAGATCCGCCTGCTGCAGCGCGCGGGGAACCCGGCCGAGCCCCGCCAGGGCCCCCAGGAGCCACGGCAGAGCCTTCAGGAGACACAGCAACACCTCCAGGAGACACATCAGGGCCTTCAGGAACCACGGCAGGGCCAACACCCCCAGGAGCCACATCAGGGCCCTCAGGAGCCACGGCTGGACCCTCAGGAACCATGGCGGGGCCTTCACGAGCCACAGCAACACCCCCAGGAGCCACATCAGGGCCTGCAGGAGCCACGGCAGCACCCCCCTGACCAGCACAGCAGCCACCGCATGAAAACAGAGACCAAAGCTGCCAAGACCCTGTGCATCATCATGGGCTGCTTCTGCCTCTGCTGGGCCCCCTTCTTTGTCACCAATATCGTGGATCCCTTCATTAACTACACGGTGCCTGGCAAGCTGTGGACGGCCTTCCTGTGGCTGGGCTACATCAACTCGGGCTTGAACCCTTTCCTCTACGCCTTCCTCAACAAGGCTTTCAGACGTGCCTTCCTCATCATCCTCTGCTGCGGCGACGAGCGCTACCGAAGGCCTTCCATCCTGGGCCAGACTGTGCCCTGCTCCACCACCACCATCAACGGCTCCACGCACGTGCTGAGGTGAGTCTGCCTTCAGAGGCTGCCTGGAAGGCCACCGAGGTGACAGTGTGGCAGGAATAAAGTTGGGATTCATTGATCTTCAAAGGTTACACCTTGGGCAGTGCCAGAGCCCGGCCATGGCTCCACCCCAGACGGATCCTGGCCACGAGTTCTCACACTTTGATAAGTTTGGGTCCATTTCCATGCTGGGGTTCAGTGTCCAATCCCAGCTCCAGGTGATGCAGTCCCACCCTCCCAGGTTGCTCCCCTCCATTCCCTGTTGTTTGCACTTTTGGGGCTGCAGCTGCAGCGGTGTCCTTGCTTGTGGGGCTGGAAAAGGATTGTTCTGTGGGGCTGAGCTGGGAGCAGAACTGCTGACACTTTATATGGAGTGCAGAGTTATAAACTAACACAGTACCGAGTCTGGAAAATAGGAAAGCTCAAATTGAAAGCATCAGCCCAGGGCTGCCCAGAGCCTGCAGCCACCAGCAAGAGGAGTTTGTACAGGACTGCCTTCATTTTGCAGTATCTTGGTGCTTTCAGTGCTCAGAAAGCGATGGGGCAAAAACAATCCTGAGGTGCTCAGACAGAGTTTGTGGAGAGCAGGTGTGGGCAGTTCCTCCAGAAGTGTGCCCAGAAAGAGCTGGGAGAACGCAGAAGTTGTGTGTGAATTTTGGCATCATTTGGTCCAAAGGGAACAACCTGACCCTCTGGATGATGCCTGCTGCATATTCTTCAGGAAAGGAACCAAAAGTTTCTGCAAAAGGGGAGGTTATGGCACTGGGGTTTTACAGCTGCTTTTTGTCCCCTGGCAGGGAGAGCAGTGGCAAGAGGGACAGACCTTGTGCTGAACTCAGCTATGACACAAGTTAGCACAATAATGAGCTGTAAATAAATGGGGATTTCTGGGTGTTCAGGGCTCTGTGCAACACCAGACTGAAAAAGCCAAAATCACCTGAAAAATGCTGTGCTCCCCTTGAAACAGAGTGTTTGCATTTCTTCTGTCACCAGTAACTATTTACTCAACACAAACCAACAAACTCCTGCCTCCATGAATCACTGAACTCTTGTGCAGCACAAGTGGATGGGGAGCCAGGTCAGCATTGCTGGAATTCCTGGATAAAACAAGCTGTGAAATTTTGCCAGAGCAAAGAAGATGACTTTGGGTGAAATGTATTTGAGCAATGATCAGAGCAGACAGACTCTGGCACATCTGGGTCAGGGAGGTCACCCTGCTGTGCTCCCATTTCCTCTCAGAAGTGCTCAGAGCACTGCATTGCTCTCTTCAGGGAAAGCTCTGGTGAGAGGTTTATTTACCATTCCTTTTCCACCAGAGAGGTCTCCTCCAAATGTCAATAGGATTTCTCCAAAGGAAAACACTTCCTGATTTTCCTCCTGAATGAGCCAAGAGAGGCAAAGTGGGAAAAAGCAGAAATGAGCACCTTGGGTGTTGGAACTGCAGCCAGCCCCTGCGCTGCCTGCTGCCCCTAGAACAGGGGTGCAGCAGCTCAGGCTCCAGTTTTGAGAGGCTTAACAGCTCCATGGATCCAGTGGAGTAAAAATAAATCCCTGGTGGTAGGAAAGTTGTCAGAGCTGCTGTGGAGCAAAAGGATGAGTGATCACAGAGTCCTGGAACCATAGAATGGTTTGTGTGTATGTTTGAATGGTTTATGTGGGTGTTTGAATAGTTTGTGGTGGTTTTTTTGAATGGTTTGTGATGTTTTT